CAAAAATCTTTTGAAAAATTTAATATATCCTTAAAAGAACACGAAAATATTTTAGAAAAGGAACCAACTATGATCCCTTGCGAAGCCCTATCTGAAGGAGAGAAAAATGAAGAATTACTATCAGCTCTTGAAAATTTAGACCCTTACGACACGGAAGATGAAGATGAAGAACTAGAAAGACGAATTGAAAAACTAGTAAAAAGAACTGAACAAATAACTGCACTAAATACTGGAAAGGAAATCCCCCCCATTCAAATACAAAATAAAGACACTGACAAAATTGACCAAGATAAAGATACAGAGTCACAATGTACATCAACTACATTCTCCCGAGAATTAACGACTCCTTCTACTGCTATTAAACCTACAGCTAGATCCACACCCTTTACTGCAGGACTTTCTCTACCCCACACTATACCAGAGGAAGACGAAGAACTCAATATTACAGTAAAAACCAAAGAAAAACAACCACGAAAATTATATATGCAAGAAATTCCAGAAATAAATGAAACGGAACCTTTACCTCAAGTGATAGAAACACCTAAACTAATTACCTTACCTTCACCTCTTCCTGACAGAATTACAAATGAAATAAGAAATGATTGTGACATTCTTACAAAAGGTCTTTACGCAAGAAACATAACTGTTCAAAGTTGTAGAGAAAACCTCACTTACAAACGCGATAATTACATTCATTTAACTTCGGCTAATTGTGAATTTTTAACACCAATTGATAAATTATTAATAGATCTAGGAATCATAGATCCTGAAGAAATAAAATTACAAAATCCAAAATTAGGACAAATTTTAATAACACCACGCGGGAGTTCAAAAATATTCACTCTTATGATAAAGAATAAACACAGTGACGATTTAAAATTAGATAATTTACGAACCACCTTTAAAAATTTACAAACAGTTATAATGAATGAAAACATCAAAACTTCACGTCTTTCTTTACTTGGAAATTATTTAGAAAGTTTAAAACCAAATGAATTAACAGAAATTCTAACAGAAATATTCTATGAAGATATGATTACAATAACTTTATGTTACGGAAAAGCATCTGTCCCTCCAATCGAAATCAGATCAAAAATAATTTCTGAAATGCACAAAAGCCTAATAGGTGGTCATAAAGGAATGACTAAAACTTACAGAAGAATAAGAGAACGATTTGTTTGGACAGGTATGAAAAATGATGTTATGGAATACATTAGGCACTGCAAACCGTGTCAAGAACAACAAATAGTCAGATCTAGAATACGAGAACCTATGTTGATCACAGACACCCCAATTGACACTTTCGACAAGGTTTCTCTTGATACTGTGGGAAAATTACCAACCACCCCAGATGGAAATAGTTACATACTAACAATACAAGATAATTTATCGAAATATTGTATCGCTGTGCCACTCCCTGACATTAAAACGAATACTATAGCACACGCTATGGCTAGAAATTTATTTGCCCAATTCGGTGCCCCACGAGCAATATTAACCGATAAAGGAGGAAGCTTTGTCAGCAAATTAATGAACCATCTCTGTCGCATTTTTGGAGTAAAACAGTTGACTACATCAGGTTACCGACCACAATCAAATGGATCACTAGAACGAAGTCACACAGTCCTTGTAGAATTTATAAAACATTACTCTAATCATTACGATGACTGGGACCGTCTTATTCCTTTTGCGATGTTTTCCTATAATACGTCAGTACATGAAGGTACAAATTTTACTCCTTATGAATTAATTTTTGGAAAGGTTGCAAGAGCACCAACTGCCTTCCCTCCAGACGAAAAACTAGTAACATACGGAACCTATCTTCGAGAATTAATTACACGTCTTAACGAAATAAAATTAATAGCTGCTAAAAATTTAATTCAAGCAAAAGGACGTTCTAAAATAAAATACGACAAATATTGTAACGAGTTTCAAGGTAAAATTGGAGATTCGGCTTACATTTTAAAAGAACCTAGAACTCATAAATTCGAAAAAAGATACCATGGACCCTATAAAATAATTGATATAACTGATAAAAATAATGTCATTCTTGAAGGAGAAGAAGGGCAACGTTTTCAAAAACACATGGACAAAATAAAAATTGCGCACGACTGAAACTAAATACAAGACAGTAAAATTAATCATCAATAAACAATAAATTAATGAATCTAACATCTAAAAGGAAACTCTAAAATTTTTCATCTCAAGTATTGCTATCTTATAGACAGCACTAACCGCACTAACAAGATAATAATAATAATTACCCCCATTTTAATTTTGTGATTCCTTATTTTCAGCAATTATGAACGAACAAGATCCCGATCTTGTATTGGATCCCGAAAAAACCAAAATATTCGAAAGTTTACAACTTGAACAACTGAATACAGAAGAAATAAAATTTTCAATCCAGATAATCAAAAATTACATCTATCTACTAGAAAGTGCTGATTTCAGAACACTTATGGAGCACAGAATAAGTACAAAAAATGAGAAAATATTTAAAAGATCCTATAAAAAGATCACAGAATACACTGCTCTGCAACAAGCAAACATATTTGATCAAATGAATACCCTTCTCTCAATGAAAGTAATTACACCATCCGATTCAAAGTTTAATAACGAAGTAATCTTGTCTCGACAAATAATATCCGATTTCAACGAACCACAATGGCGAATAAGCATACCCTTTATGACTTTAAATCGAAAAATTATTTCTGACATACCAAATTTTCAAAAGCTTCCAACAATTAAAGGAATGTTGAACACCAACACATACTTTTCTATTTTAGAAATGGAAGAATTATATGGTTACATAAGTATTAATAAAGAAGACGCGTCAAAAACTGCATTTACTACTCCAGTCGGAAAATACCAGTTTAATTCTCTTTCTCCATCAATAAAAGGTTCTCAAGTAACATTTTTAAATTTGCTACGGCGAATATTTCCAAAATGGAAAGAAGACAATATCATTTTCCTCCCCTTAGGAATAATAATAGCTAGTCCAACTTTCGACGAACACAGAAGAGTACTAACCAATGTTTTCCTCGCATTATTGTACCAAATCATCCCAATTGATCCTAATAAAATTAAACTATTCCAATCAGTTGCTAATTGCGTTGAATTTTTAAATCATGCTATGTCGATTCAAATTTTGATCGAAAAACCATCAAAATATGTAGGAAAACTGCTTCTACAAATAAAATTACAAGAAAACGAATTCGAAACCTGTCTCTATGAATATCACGCTCACCATCTCGTTCCTATTACAAGTTCCTCTAGAATATATACTGGACCAGAAATTTTGTATGATTATCATGAAAAAAGAAGCCTTGCAATCATACATAGTGCAAGAAGATATAAACATCTTATAAATAACAATCCTATATTTTTCTTTGATAAAAATAATAACTCACAGTGGTTAGAAACTATATCAAAGGGATTTACACGTATACAATGGCTACTGGATTTGGAAAATATGAACTGGAACTATGTAAACTCTAACGAAGAAAAACTTCTGTTTAACGAAAACTAACCTCAAATCTCTCAAAGAAAACTAACCTCTAAATAACTTTATAACAAATAAATATCTTTAAATTCCAGATAACCATGGAACAAAATCACCCTCCATTGACAGAGGAATATATAAAAATATTTGATGATTTTGAAACAGAAAGAATGAGTTCAGAGGAAGCTGATTTTGTAACAAAATTAATAACATCCTACTATCAATTGTTTGGTCACTACTCGTTTGAGCCCTTTTCACATATACAACACCAGATCTTCACCAAAAATGATATACCAATTATGACTACAATCAATTCACCAGATTCATATACAATTGAACAAAAACAAGATCTGTTTTCACAGCTGTGTTATTTATCACTAGCAGAAATAATCACACCATCAAACTCTACCTACGCAAATAAAATCAACGTAAATTTCGTATGGACATCACATGTAAGAAGATTTACTTGGAAGTTTTCTACAAACTATACACAGCTTAACAAAAGGATAATAGTACCAAACTATCCTAACAAGGATCCTGAACAAATTCGACACAAAATAAATGAAAATACTGAAATATCAATCTTCGACTTAACAGACCTTTATTCAAGAATCGAAATCCATCCTAATGACACACATAAAACGTCAATTGTCACACCAATCGGAAGCTTTGAATTCAAAAGATTGATCCCAACGTTAAAAGGATCCGAAATAATCTTTTATAAATTTTTTGATATTATTTTCGAAAATGATTTGAGACAAGACATAACACTATATCCAAAGGGTATAATTGTGACAAGTAAAAATAAGAAGGAACATATTGAGACCATATCAACAATATTTTTAAAATTTGCTCTAAATGGAATTTCAATTCAAGCATCAAATTGTAAGCTCTTTTTGGACAAAATCGACGCACATGATTACATGGATTCCCAAATTGAACCCGACAACACAGTACCAATACCAAATCCTACTTATAACGGGCAACTAATGTTACATTTTCGAATTTTCGAAAATTATTTCAAAGTCATTCTTATTGAATACTCTAATCGCCGAATTAATGTAATAAAACAATCAAAACGAAAATTCCAACCTTCGGAAACATTATACAACGAAGAAGGAAAAATCTGTCTAGCATTGGTTCATGCAAGAAGAAGATTCAATCAATTTATTGGAGACAACGATATACTGCTTCCAAATGGACGAAACGCATTAAACTGGCTAAGTGAAATTGAGCTTACGAATACAAGAATAAACCATTGGAGATATGAACTACAGACTTCAGAATGGATCATATGCCAAAATAATTAAGAAAAGAAATAAACAATACATTCATAAATCTCATCAAAATGAACTTTATATAAAATAAAAATATATATATATATATTTTTCTATTTTCCTATAACTATACAATATTACTAACATAGAACTGTAAACACATAAAAAAAAAAAAAAAAAAAAAAAAAAAAAAATTAATAAAATGTATATATGTCCGTATAACCAATTGATGTAAATTAAATCCACTTTACTGATAAAATAAAAATAAAATAATCCCAAACGTTAAACTATGAATTTACAACCCATCAGAACAATAGAGTCTGCTTCGGAAACAACTTTTCCTACAATTGGTCCAATGATCCGGACTCCATAAAACTGTATTGTCCACTCGCGATCTCTAAAATAAATAGACGAAAATTATGAAATAGAAGTTGGCATTATATGAAATACAAATTCATGTATGCGAATTGTATATATTAAATAAAATAAAAACAAATTTTTACCATTGTCCACTGTGAATCTATTTTCAACCCATTTGGAGTAAGAGTATACGTCTTTACTCTTACTAATGCAAGCGACTTTACAACTGGTTGCCAATCCAACCCAGTAACATTGTGTGGCAACTTCGAACCGTCGCATAATGAAGACTCAATTCCTGGTTTCATTACCCTTCTATGGACATTATTTAATCCAATAATGGAAGGAATACAAAATTGTACCTAGAACCACACAACAAATATTATACAAATCTCTTTTCATAGATTCTTTGAAACTAAATAAGCATTTTCTCAATATTTCCCCTTTTCCCTCTATTTTAAATAAAAATTCCCCTATTCCTTTTTACTTATTTTGCGCTATGAAGCCTAATATATATATAAATCAAACCTAAGCCATAAACACACACATACCGGAATCCAATATCCCCTCCAATAAATAGGACCTTCAGGATCTAATTTAATATACTCCTGACACCAGGAGAGAGGACCATCCGAATCCAACGGACGCTCTTCCCAGGGTCTTCCTGACCGACGAATAACTCCAGGTTGTTGATACTTATATTCGTCCCAACATCCCATAATTACAATACTCCTAAAAACAAGATACAATAAACATTCGGAATAACTAATATACAAATCAAAAAAAAATAATAAATAAATAAATAAATAAATAAATAATAATAATAATAATTTATAACGATTTCATAACTAATAAACCTTTCTCAGCAATTAAATTAATTTTTATTTTATAATAGAATTCTTAACAATTTGTGTGTATGTAGATTTAACTAGAATTTATTTTAATAAATTGGATTAAATTACTCCAAATTCAAATATTCTGCTTAGAAAGAACAAAAAATCAATAATCATCGCAAAATAATTTTAACCAAATACATAAAACAAAGATTAACATTTTCCAAAAATAGAGTTAAAATCTGAAATTAGACAAAGAATTTTTTTTACTTTTTGAACAATAATCTTGTTTGTTTATGGATATAATTGAGGATTTTATTTTTCAATTTTATTAGGATAATGATCGGTTATCTACAAAGAATTTGACTATGTTTTTTATGAATGTAATTAAATATATGGTTTGATTCTTGCGAAGAGTTGTACTAAAATTCTTGTCAATACTAAACAGTACCTAATAATTAATTATTTATTTAATGATTGAATAAATAAAAATAATTAATTAGTAAATAAATAAATAAAAGGTCTTACTTTCAGCCTAATTTCGAGGTTGAATTTAAAGTATTTTATTGATCATTCAGAAATTTAAATCTATAAAAATTTAAGAAAAGTTTAATAATTATAATTATAGAATAATAACACAATAATATAGTTTAAATATGTGACTCTTTATAAAATTCAATTATTTATCAATTATTAAATTAAAATACTTTGAAAGTTCCATTTGTTGAAGGGTTTCTAATGAAATCCTTTCACAAATTTAATTATTTTCAGTTAAATTTCACAGAATTTCTATTAATTCGATAATTTTAAAAAAAAAAAAAAAAAAAATTTTTATTTACATGCAATATTTAAATCAGTGACTGATTTTTACTACTCTCTAAATTTGAATCGGCGAAAAGTCGCTGATTCACCAGCCCAGAGTATGCAGCTGATAAAATAGCGTAATAAATTTAAATTTAGAGAACAGTTTCTGTCTATAAAAGTTGAAATAAAAAGCGATTTTTAAAACACAAATTAAAATAATAAAAACTTTTCTAATTTGTTGTAAAAATTCCCGGTTTGGAATAAAATTTTTGGCTTATTCATAAAATAAAAATTTTAACAGAGATTCAATTCTTTTCTTAAAGTATTAAAATTCTTTTTAGGAACTCAATTATTTTCACAAATGGTGGAACTCATTCCGGAGTTTCGGTTATTTTTGATGCAATTTGAATAATTGAATTCTCGAAGAATTGTATAATAAAAATTGATTTAAGAATGAATTTCAGTTAAAATTCGAAATAATAATTCTATATTAGATGAATTGAAATTTTACAAAGTTTCAATTTTGCATGAATTTCATTAGAAATTTTAAAGAACTTAAATTTTTGAAAAATTTTAATAATTCATATTTTTCTGAAATTAGTTCAATTTTTTTTAAATATATATTTAATTATTTATTAAAGGGAATGGATTTATAAAGGAATTTTAGTTGAAAATACTAAAAAAAAAAAAAAAAAAAAAAAAAAAAAATGAATTTTAGAGAATTTACAAATGATTGCAAAAATTCAATTATTTTCGGAAGTAATAGGATTCTTCGCAGTAATTCAATTGTTAAACATTTTTTTTTTATTCTCCTAAAAATTCCAATTGTCTTTATTAAATAATAAAATTCTTCTCCAAAATTCAAATTATTTTCAAAACATTTAATAAAATTATTGACAAAATTTTTATTACTTTCAAAATTTTTCCGAATTCAATAATGATTTTCAATATCTACTATTTGAATACAACTTTCCAAAAGAATTCAATTAGGTATAAAAAGAAAAAGAAATCTTAATAAAATTGTACGCAAACATTCCATTATTTTCATATAAATAATACAATTTTTACAGAGATTCTATTATTTTAGTAACTAATTAAATTATTTATAAAAATTCAATTATTTTCGTACGTAGTAGAACTCGTCGCGGAATTTCAATAATTTTTAATACCCTAGCTGGAATATATGTATGTAATGCTTTTTGTCATCGAGGCTACTATTTCCTACTTTTTATCGTCGAGGCTACTTTTTCCTATTTTTTTTAAACACATAATGGAGTGCGAAGCCTGTCATTTTTAATGCAATTTTAGGTGAATTTCTCAAGGAATATAATAATTGTTTTCAAGGGTTCTATTAAAATTCTTCAAATAAAGTCAATTATTTTCCAAAATAATTTCCATAATTAATAAATTCAATTAGTAATTTTATTTATTTGTTTATTTATTTTTATTATAATAGAATATATTACTAATTTTTAACTTTTGTTTAATAAAAATATTTAAACTTACCCCTTTCCACTCAATTCTCCTGCTCTCACTTCATTTACAGATTTTATTAATCGACAAATGCCTAAATAAATGTAATGAAGCGAGGTCTCCATTTCTCTCACACGCTCGATTGATAAATTTTCAATAATCAAAGGAACTTCGCCCATTTTTGAATTATACTCTTTTACCAAATTCAAAAAGTTCGGATACCGTTCAACCATCACATTCACAAAGTATTCCAATCCTTGAATGTTTCCTTCCGTGTTCATACCACCATTAACAAATTCAAACAACTTTCTCACCTCCAAATTCATCTTAATGAACAATAAAATTACACAAACACAACAATAACAATATACTTCTACAACAATTTAAAAACAACAAAACAAAACAAACAGAAATAATAATTAAACAAAACGGAAACTAATAACAAAAATTACTTTTCTCAACCAACGACTACTTCAAATCAAAATTAAAAGCATACTGATCAATATCAGACAGTCACAAATGTCGTACCATAGATGACTATTTCACATGGAACCAAAGCACTCCACTTCGTCTGTAAAATAACATAAACATCACGTCGCCATAATATTGAAAGATGCTTAACAGCAGACAGTATCAGGCGACTCAGTCCACTCAAAAAAAAAAAAAAATTTTCTTTTTCACTCTCTCTCTATATAACAAAATTTTATTTATCAAATGATTATTTCTATACTTTATATAATTAATTAAATTATTAATCAAATCTAACTAAAAATTTATTAAATCATAAAAAAAAAAAAAAAAAAATATATATATATATATATAATTAATTAATAATAATTAATAAAAATTTATATAACTAAAAAAAAAAAAATATTTTTTTTTGTTACATAAAACAAAACTGTCAAAATAGTTCCCCCTTTTTATTCATTTTCTCTCTCCCTCTAACGCATAGCAGCCGTCTTACCCGATCTCTCGTGCGTATGCCTCTAGTGCGTTCTCTCTCACTCCTATAGCCGCACGCCGCCACAAGCGACGTAGCAGGTAGAGTCCCCGCGCGACCGCTGTCTATTATCCGCGACTCCCAAGCGTTATCTCGCGAACGCGAAGACCCTCGCAAATTCTGAATAGCTTAAACGACTTTGCCACCCCCCCTATAGATACACCCCCTTTTCAATATAATTTTCAAAATTTGAATGAAAGTTCTAGGACAATTTTTAAGATTTTTGTTCAAAATTATATTTCCCAAATTTGTTTTCTCTCTCACTCTAATAGGAATATACATCTCTCTCTTTCTAACCAATGCTAAAATCATTCTCTCTCTTTCCTACTATTACAAACCACAGTGTTTTCTCTCTCACTCCTATGGGCAGCACACCGCCTCATAAGCTTAGCAGGTAGAGTCCCAGCGCGACTGCTGCCTACTCTCCACGACTCCCGAGCGTTATCTCGCGAACGCGAACTCCCTCGCGGTTTTTAACATCATTTTCAAAATTTCTACCCTCGTTGAATTCCCATCTCTAAAAACACATATTTTAAAAATTATTTAATATGGATTATCACTCTTTTAATATTAAAACTTAAATTAATTGTCGCAATTACAAATTGATTTTTATTGTTAAAAATTATACTATAATTATGTAATATATTTCCTTCACAATCAACACATATAAAAATCAAAACATCAATATTTTACAACACAATACCAAGGGCCCTAAAGCTCAATACCCACCTCCAATAATTTTTCTCCCTCTCAAATAAACAAACTACAATTTTTTTTTTGGTATTGAATTTCCAAAATAACAACAAATAAGCAATGACTAAGATTTTTTTTTTATATAGAATTTTTCTCAATAATAAATAAATTTACAAATAAAAATATATAATAGAATATAAGTAAAATAAATAAGTCTACATACCAACCTCAAATTTTCTTTTCTCCTTATGTATTTCTCTCTTCTCTTTTCATCGAGGACGATGAATTTTTTTTTAGGGGGAAAAGACACGCTTAAAATTTTGCATAATATTAATTCATATTTTCAACTCTAATCACATTACCCATATTAGACCATAAATAATGCCTCTAACTTTGGTACTTATATATATATATACCACTATTAAATTAATAAAATTTACAATTTTCACAGATAAAGATGTTTTTACCCTGGAAATTATTCATTTTAGTCCCTATAATACTTGCAAATCCTGAGAGATATCAGATTACCATTTTTGATAAAAATCCAGGTTTATTCTTCGAAAGATTAAGAACAGTAAAATTTATCGAAACTTATTGGCGGCTCACAATATTTCTTGATATGAAGAAATTACAAAACAATTTTCCAATGAAAACTCTAATCAAAGATATCGACATTATGTACAACAATTGTGCCATGCCATACACCGAGCCCTGTGAAGAAGCAATAAGACCTCACACTCTAAAAGAGAAAATTACTCAGGCAAATAATATTTTCCAAGATGCAACAAACCTGTTAACCATCCTAAAGGACACTCCAGTGGACATAGAAAATCTTCCAAACAGTATGAGAAAACGAAGATCACCACTTGACTTCATTGGACAAGGATTAAAACCCATTATAGGCATTTTAACCACCGAAG